GTCAATTCCATCAAAAGTGTTCATGTTAAGCACCAAGTAGAGACTTTAAAAAATCAATTCATGGCCAGGCACAGGGGCTCACGCCTGTAATCCCAGCACTTTGGGAGGCCGAGGCAGGTGGATCACGAGGTCAGGAGATGGAGACCAGCCTGGCCAACATGGTGAAACCCTGTTTCTACTAAAAACATAAAAATTAGTCAGGCATGGTGGCGGGTGCCTATAATTCCAGTTACTTGGGATGTTGAGGCAGGAGAATCACTTGAAAGCAGAAGGCAGAGGTGGCAGTGAGCCAAGATAGCACCACTGCACTCCAGCCTGGGAGAAAAGGTGAAACTCCATCTCAAAAAAAAAAAAAAAAAAAAAAAATTCAATTCATGTTTTTTTAATAATAAGGCAACAATGAAATGGCAACATGGCTATAATGAAATAGTGGCAGGCACTGCAATATTGAGTTTTAAGCAAAAACTCTTATTTCTCCAGTTTTCCTTAGGAAAATAGATAGGACTATTTGTGCGGTGGTTAAAAATGCAGAAATTAACATAAAATATTGCCAAAATACCTCCCAAAGCTCACTACTTAAAAACAGTTTATCACAGCACCAATGCCAATATACACCAGGCCACCTGTGTCCCTGACACATTGAAAGCTATGGCCTCTGAATGATGTCTTGATCATTCTGTCATTAACATCATACCTCACCTGAAAAGTCAGATGTGTTTTCCAAATTGGAGCACTTCTACCCAAGCTTTGGATATAAATTAGGAGGAATTTAGATTATGTCACATTTTGGGCATAGGCAGGCAATGAAAAATGGAGAAGGGAAAAGAAGGCAAAATAAATGGGCTTATAGCAAAATAATGATCAAGAGATTGAAAAGAAAAAAAGAAAAAAGGAAAGAAATGTACCAGAAAAGGTTGTGAAAAACTGTAGGAACCTGTTAGTGGGACATAATGAGGCTCCTTAAAGGATATTTTTACATTTTCCAAATAATTTTCAGTTATCAGAAATGACTGAGTCCCTGTCTTGTATATCAGCGCAGGTTCTTATATCTTGTATGTGAACAACCGAAGTCCATAGCATCTTTTTCAGTCCTTTCGATCATCTGGACCTACCCTGTGGGATCCCTTCTTTGTTCTTTGAAAGGTATTTCTTTATAAACAGCTACTGAGCTGCTTTCTTCGGGAACAAGAATGTACTATTCACATAGTATTCAAAGGGTCGACTGGGTCGGTCCTTGCCACCTTCCCCTTTGGTGCAGATGGTACACTTGCCCTGAACATTTTTTCTACTCAGATGACCATCAGTGCTATCACCTGCTCCACCTGTGACTACTGCCCTGCAAATGAGCAAGAAACAGCACCAGCTCAGGGGAAAAGTTGCTTTTACTTGTTCTCAGTGAGAGGGTAGCAGCTTTGTGGAGAAAGGAGCATCTGATTAGGCTCCTAATTAACATGAAAACCATCCTGCAAGAAAAAGCCACAGCAGCAACAAGCTGCTTGCCAGTTCTAGGCCAGGAATCCCAATTGCAATTTTGGTTGTTATGGAAACAGACCACACTGCTTCTTAAAGAATTCATTATTCCAACAAATATTTGTTGTTCTAGTCATTAAGTAGTACCGAATGAATGATGTAGACACAGGGGAGGAGGAGCGCAGAGGAGGAAGGCTGGTGATTACAGCTGAGTTCTCAGGGAGCTAGAACTTAACTCTGACCTTGGGGCATGATTAATAGGGGAGAAGACATTTCAAGTGAAAGCGCTGGCAAAGTGCGACAAGCTCAAGCGATAATAAGGATGCAGGCATGGCTGGAGCCAAAGATTGACATGGGAGTGTGATGGGAAATGGGAAAGACCAGAAAACCAGTCTAAGAAGTCTGGACCTTTCTGTGGACAAAAAGGAGCTACTGGATATGTTAAAACAGGGGGAGAATGCTTTAGGCGTATTAATTTTGTCTTAAGACAAATAGTGAGGACGTCAACCTAGACTCCGGGTAATACCGCAGCCCCAGTGTTTTCTGGGTATATGCCAAGACAATAATTTGAAAAGTGACAATTCAGCCATCTTCTCAAATAGACAAAACCACACTGTTTCACTGAAAGAAACCGACTTTTGAGTCGGTGTGTGTCTCAAAAGCTATGGGTGTGTCTATGACATCTGGAATATTTTTATAAGGCTTAAATTGACTTATAATAAAGCAGTCCCAAAATACCATTCTGCCACCTGGCAAGGAAGTATTTAGAACTAAGGCCTTAATTCTCAGAGTCCAGTATGTACACTAGAAAAAGAGCAGTCATTTTCCCTTGTATCACAGTGGCTTTGTACCTTCTATGGCCCAAACAGTAAGCTGAAATCTCTTTTACTGATCCGTAAATTGAAATACAGGAGAGTTTGGTTAGATAGAAGAAAAATCTTTTGCTCAGTGCAGCAATTCTTAGAGGGTGATCTATGGACCCTTGGAGGTCTCGAGCTTTGCCTAATTCCAAAGATCTTCTACTGTGCTGTTTGACCTTCTGAAGGGCACAGGACTTAGTAACAGGTGAGGTCTTTAGTTATGCCTAGAGAGAGGAAGTGGCATTTGACAATACATTTCACAGTTCAACTGTGAGTGTTAAACAATGGATAAAGTCGGAGGTAATATCACTGCCAAGACAGTAACAACAACCACAAAACATACTGTATTATTTTTGGAAGCTTCTTTGGACCACATTTTTAAAAACACAGAGTTCTATGTGATAATAAAGGGCTCTGTGATGGTTAATACCGAGTGTGAACTTGATTGGATTGAGGGATACAAAGTATTGATCCTGGGTGTGTCTGTATGGGTGTTGCCAAAAGAGATTAACATTTGAGACAGTGGGCTGGGGAAGGCAGATCCACTCTTAATCTGGTGAGCACAATCCAATCAGCTGCCAGCAAATACAAAGCAGGCAGAAAAAAGTGAAAAGGAGAGACCGGCCTACCCTCTCAGCCTATATGCTTTCCCCGTGCTGGATGCTTCCTGCCCTCCAACTCCAAGTTCTTCAGTTTTGCGACTTGGACTGGCTCTCCTTGCTCCTCAGCTTGCAGACAGCCTATTGTGGGACCTTGTGATCACGTAAGTTAATACTGAATAAATTCCTATATGTATAGATTTATTCTATTAGTTCCGTCCCTCTAGAGAACTCTGACTAATACAGGCTCCTACTTTGAATTCCTAGCTGTCAAGTTTAAAGGGTCTCCCCTTTTCCTAATGTGGCTCCTAATATAAAAATTGAATAGAAAATATAAGACTCTGTGTATGGTCTGGATGCCAAGAAAATTGATTATTAAAATTTATGTGGAAAAGGGAATTTTAGTCTGATTTTCCTTTGAAATTATGACATTGGGCTACTCTTCAATAAGAGATACAAGCAACAAAGTTTTACTTTCTGAAAAAAACGTAAACTAAGTGTGGGAAGAGTCCATCCAGTTCCCAAGGTTAAGGTCAACTAGAGGTAAGCAGATGACAAACGGACCTAAGGTAGGTCTCAAGAATTCCCACTGCTTGACACACACTGTTCTCTTTGCCTCCTCTCACCTCCCATTCATCCCTTCACTGGGCCCATCTCTCCTTTTATCTCTCTGCTTAAATGTTACGTTCTTAGGGAAGCCTTCCCCAGTCACCCTCTCTAAAGTAATCACCTAATTTTACTCCGAACACTTGACCCAGGCTGTTCCCTATTTCAGCTCTTTGGTTCCTTCCTAATACTTTTCAAGGTTAATGATATATCCATTATTTTCTTCATCTAAGATGGCAGCTCGGTGAATCCTCACTACCCAGCGGGGTTCAATATTTAATAAGCATGTGTCAGATGGCTGAATGTGTGAGACAGTTTGCATTCAGGTTAACAACCAACACAACTGAGTTGTGTGCGGAGGAGGGAGAAGCCTGGAGTGAGGAACTTCAGTCAGAGATCCTGGTCCCCTCCCTGCTACCAGTTAATTGAATGACTATGATCAGACCCCTTAACTTCCCTGGGCCTCAGTTTCCTCATCTAATAATGAGGGAACTTTACTCAGAGATTTCCAAGGAGGCATTCTGATTTTAACTTGCAAGAGTCTAAGTTTATCTGATTATATTTCTGTAGTGTTGACAACCATTCTTTTCCCACTCATTGAGGAGGTGTGGACCTTTTCATTATTTCTGAATATAAATAGACATTTTCTGGAAAATGTACAGGTAGGTGTGCTAATTTTTTGAGGCACTTGAATGACTAGAGGAAAAAGTACTAAGTTTTGAAAGGATAATATTTGTCCTTTTTTGTGCATTTTTAACTACTGCACAGCCAGTTCCCTTTATTTCCATGAGGAAAACTGGAAATCTGGCTCTCACACACCATTAGCTTTATAACCTTGGACAAGTTCCTTAACCTTCCTGAGTCTCTCAGTTTTCTTGTCTATGTAATGGATATGTGATAGGAATAGACTAGGTAATGGGATTGTATAAGGATTAATTGAGATAACCTGGGGCATAGTGGGTGCTCAGAAAATGTTGGTAAACCTCAAACACATTTTCTCCCACAACTCATCCATCAATAAGTTTCACTGTACTAGAGCAAAGAGCAAATTAGATAGTTTTTTCTATTTGCTGTGTCGAATACAGGGTCTGGCTATTGAGGTATATTTGAACATGTGGCAACTGATGCATTCAGTTTAGGAAGGAGAGGGTCCGTGTTCAAACAGAAAACACGTGTGTTAGATTTTAACACATGACAACCTCTTACCCTTTTAATTCACTTTGTTACTGTAGAGCTAAACTCAGAAGTTTGACATTCTTTCAAGTCCTACTTTTCCCATGCTGAAAAGATACAAATCCCAAAGCAATATAAAACGGCATACATGAAAGAACGAACCTGGAAAACTTGGGGTACTATTTTGACCAAAAAGACTTCAAAATAGGGTGAGAAATAAATAATCTTTTTAACTACCAAATTCTTATTATTAGCAATTGTATTGTTAGAAAATGCAAGGGCTGCTACTCACCAATCATGAAAATAATTTTACACTTTCTCAAATCTTCCATGAAACCTTCAAAATAAAAATAACTTAAGTTATTGGCAAGAAAAACTGTACTGAAGCCCTGGTTTTACTCATGTTATGTAAAAACCCAAACCTTGTAGTTTTATTTGATAACAAAAGCTTGAAGTTGAATAAATGTGTGAACAGGCTACAATTAATAAGCACCAATGACCATTTCAGTCTTTTTGTTTGTTTGTGAGATGGTCTCACTCTGTTGCCCAGGCTGGAGTGCAGTGTCTCTATCTTGACTCACTGCAACCTCCACCTCCCAGGTTCAAGCCATTCTCCTGTCTCAGGCTATCCTGAATAGCTGGGATTACAGGTATGCCACCACATCTGGCTACTTTTTGTATTTTTAGTAGAGAGGGGGTTTCACCATGTTGGCCAGGCTGGTCTTGAACTCCTGGCCTCAAGTGAACCCTCTGCCTTGGCCTCCCAAAGTGCTGGGATTACAGGCATGAGCGACCGCGCCCTGGCCATTTCAGTCTTATTTCCCTATCCCGGTAAGGTATTTTTATTTTAACATGCATGATCAACTTTTGGTGGCAAAAATGTATGTCATTAAATAGCATGAATCACAAAGAAAGCTATTTTTAAAAATTACTTTTAAATCATCCTAAGTATCTCAGTTTGGTGTTATTTCATGTTTAAAACATTTGCTAAGCTTCCTTTTAATACAGATGGTTAAAACACAAGTAGAGTATCTGGAAAATAATATTTTTAAACATAGTTTCTGCTTAGAGCAAATAATGTTATTTTCCATTTAAGGTAGTGATATAAAATTTCCTTTTAAAATAAATCTATCTGAGTAACAACAGTTCATATTTTCTGTAGATAACTACTTTTGAAAATTAGATCACTATTCTGACAGTTAGGAAACGTTTTTTAGTGAAATTGGGGTAGTTCATTTATACGCACAATACCACATTTTGTAGGAATTCACAATTAGCTGAGTGAAGCCCTAGCCCTACCCAAGAAAGAGAGAGCATGGGGCAAGATGAATTGGGCTGGGAACAAAGAGCTGAGAAAGAGCTGGAAACAGAGAATAGAAGTAAGTTTGGGACTGTTGAAACCATATGGTTTTCACAACAAAAAACAAATAAACAAAAAGAATTTTTAAATCAAATCCAGTCTCCTTACAGAATAACCCATGGCGACAGGAAACACTTTAAATTGTTTGAAGTTTTCTATTAAAGGCAGATACACTGGTGTTCCTAACATGTGGGACCAGATGGTCAGCTCAGGTTCTCCAGCCTGTGAGTTTATGTTTACGAAGCTAAGGAACTCTGAGTCTATTTGCAATCTGGGAAAATGACCCTGGTTATTACTGTGATTTTTTTGGGTATGATTGTATCCTATTTCAGTTTTCAAAAATAGTTATTTTAAAATTAATGATGGTACATGACATTCATCTAATGTAGTCATTACAAATTAAGTATATAGTTTTTTAATGACATGGGAACATGTTTATGTTGTGATATATACAAAACATTTGGAGATACTTGTATATACATATGCATTCTCAACTATATAAAAATAGATATATAGGCAATGCATTGGAATGAAATGTACCAAAATGTTAACCATGATCATTTATAAGTCATAAGATTTTAAATGGCTCTTATTTTATACCTGAAAAAATTTCTACAGTATGTGTTAATTTTATAACTAGAATAAAAGGGAAAATTTATTAGGCCATCAGTCATCCCCTACCCAGTTGAGACCAAGTTGATTATTTGCACTTAGCTAAGTGACAGCTAAGTTATGGCTCATATATTTGTACCTCTCCTCATGAATCACCATGATGTCATTTGGTGACTGTGATTTTCACATACTGCTCCTGCCATTATCATCAAATGACACTTTACCTACCACCTTGTGCTAATGGATCTATGCAGGATTAGAGCGGGGGTTATTTAAAAAGCCAACTCACTTACTTATATGTGTTTAGAATCAATACTATAAACATATTTCCATGACTTATAGTATAACTTTTATTACAGTGTAGAAATGTTAGAAGGTATTTTTACTTAGGACAATTACGAACCTTTTCTTTTTTGGATAGTCCTAAATTCACATAATCGTATCTATTTTCAGTTACATGCATAGCTAGTTATGGATGGAATTTTTACTTTTTCCAAGACTTTTTTTTTTTTTTTTTGAGATGTAGTCTCACTCTGTCACCCAGGCTGGAGCACAGTGATGCAACCTTGGCTCACTGAAACCTCATCGTCTTGGGTTCAAGCAATTCTCCTGCCTCAGCCTCCTGAATAGCTGGGATTACAGGTGTGCACCACCATGCCTTTCTAAATTGTTTTGTATTTTTAGTAGACATAGCGTTTCACCATATTGGCCAGGCTGGTCTTGAATTCCTGACCTCAAGTGATCCACCTGCCTTGGCCTTCCAAAGTGCTGGGATTACAGGCGTGAGCCACTGCACCCGGCCATTTGCAAAACTTTTAATATGACAAAAATTACAAAGCAGTATAATCCTGGTGTAGGATAGGTTGGGTCCCAAAGGTACATGCAGACTAGTAACTACCATGCAGGAAAAAGACCTTTGTGTTTCAATTATGTTTAAAGAATGTTGAATTAAAGTTTGACAACTGTTTTTACTGCAGGACTTGTGGGAGAGCTTTGGATGCTATTATATACTTGAATCTTCCAGTGGGGACCTGGTGTTAAGCATGTTTCAAGGATATTTCAGTAGAGCATCCTCTTTTCGCTGAGCCTCTCCGGAGTCCTGTTCTCTGGGCAGTTAGGAAATGCATCTCTTAGTAATGCACCCCTTTGGTTCTTTACATGGATGGAGGCAGGAGAGACCCAAAGAGTTCTACTCTTCATCATGCTCCCTGGCTAAGGGAAAAGTGATGCTGTTAATATTTTATCTCTTAAGTTGATGTTTAATTAAAAAGGCATGGTCAAAGTTAGTGTAATGACAACTTTGATCTGATCAGTAAGGAAAACTCACCTCCCATGGTGTCCTCTCCAAATACATTTAACTGGTCATCACCCTGTTAAAAAAAATCACAATATTAGATAATAATAACAGCAGGTATTGTGCTGAACTCCTTGGCAACACTGGCATACTTTAACTTCCAAACAACTGTAAGAGGGAGGCACTTCCAAACAATTTTATGAGGGACAACATTTTACAGACAAAGGCACTGAGAATTCTAAAAGTTAACTTGCCGAAGGTGACAGGGTAGTGAGGGACAGAGCTCAAAATTAAACCTGGTCATCTGTCCTGAGTGCACACTCTCTTCTTAACCAGTACAGTATCTCACCTGTTTTTTTTTTTTTTTTTTTTTTTTTTTTTTTTAAGTGCAAAAGCTATCTGTGGACAGGAAGGCTGACTTCAAGAATACAAAATCCTTTGATATCAGAAGCTTACTAGTAGGTGTGATCACAGCTGTTTTATGAGTAACTCCAAATTTTAAAGCTGGGGTTGGCAATCATTTTCTGTAAAGGGCTAGATAGTAACTATTTTCATCATCATGAGCCACTGTGTCTCCTGTTCTCCTGTAGCAACTACTTTTTTTTTTTTTTTTTGTGAGACATAGTCTCACCCTGTTGCCCAGGCTGGAGCACAGTGGTGCAATCTCGGCTCACTGCAACCTCCACTTCCTGGGTTCAAACAATTTGGGCCTCAGCCTCCCCAGTAGCTGGGAGTATAGGCATGTGCCACCGTGCTGGGCTAATTTTTGTATTTTTAGTAGAGACAGGGTTTCACCATGTTGGCCAGGCTGGTCTCAAACTCCTGACCTCAAGTGATCTGCCTACCTCGGCCTTTCAAAGTGCTGGGATTACAGACGTGAGCCACCGTGCCCGTGCCCTACAGGGCAACTATTCAGTCATAACTTGCCAATCCCCGAACCAAAGCATGAAATAAAGAAGTTGGGGTGATCAGTTTTTATTGATGCCTACCTTTAAATTTTTCATTTTATTTTTTAATCAAACAGATACTCTCTTCCTTATGGAGTAGCCCACGGTGTTTGGAAAAAAATTCAGAAGAGAATTTTATAAAAAGGCACTAGGTGAGAACTCTCACTCTCACCTATGTCTTCATCTGTATCATTTCTCCACTCTGTCACCCCTTATAGGTAACCACTTATACAGATTGTTCTTGAGGTACACAAAAATGACTTCTAGATATCCAGGGATACATGTGAACATAAATAGATACTATGATCTCCATTTCTTATACAAAAGCATTATGCTTTTTTTAATATATACATATGTGTTTATAATACATTGCTCCTCCATTTGCTTTTTCTCTGATCAGGGTATCCTGGAGAAATTTCCATGTAAGTACAGAATGGTCTCAGTACCAAATAACATCAGTTGCACAGTATTCTATTGTATGTATGGTACCATAATTGCTGTTAATTAGTTCTTTATTGATGGATCAGTTTCCAGTCTCGGACTTTTTTTTTGGAAAAAGTGGCACAGTGAGTAAATTTGCATAAATATCATTTCATACTGTAGGCTAAATTTTGAGAGAGGGGACCGCATGGTCAAAGAGTAAATGTATTTATAATTTTGATAGAATTTTGCCGAACTGCTCCCCATAGAGGTTGTACCATTTTGAAGGGACAGCCTCTGGCTTGTGCTTTACACCAGCCTCTTGCCTCTAATTCACTTTGATGCCTGA